ACCACTCCAATACAAGAAGAGTATAAAAGTTTTTATTTTCATGTATTTTGCAGAATGAAATTTAGACCATAAAATGTCCTTTACCCTCACTTAAACTCTTGTTATGATTACCAGGCTGTAGAGGAACAAATTTGTCTGCTTGAAGTCACTAATATAATGCCTGCAAGTTTGCTGAAATTGTCAGTTCACCTATGGCTTCCAAACAGTACAGGGAGTTTCAATGGGTTATACCACTTCCATTTTAGATAACATTTCATTAGCACTGCAGAGATTGAAAAGATTGCTATAGCAATTTTATATATATTTATTTTAGAAAAATATGATTTAGCTGTATTTACTGTATCTGGGCATTATGCTCAGTGCATATATTCTCATTCTGTTGGAATTTTAGTAAGCTGTACTAGTAGTAATGCCTTTGTAGTCCTTACAAAATGCTATAAGCAAGGTATCTGACCATTTTTATCTATTTTTGTCACATTTACTGTATGTGAAGAAACAAAAAAAATAAAATAGCATTTTTGCTTTTACAGTAACATTTCAGACCACGTGTTTGAACTATTGCAAGCTACACTACATACTGTCTAAAGCTTGTCATTTTCCACCTATTTTTATAGAAACTTAGCAAATAAATGGAAAGATAAAATTAAATTTACAAAGCTGCAACCCACATAATCCCTCTTAACTCCCCATGGTTTCTAAACCCCTTTTGCTCCTCTTATCGCACTGTGTGTGTCTTAGCTCCCTTTTGCCTTCATACCCTGCTTTTGTGTCCGTTACTCCCCCTTTCCTCTGGCACGTGTCCCCCTTACACTACTTCCTATTGTAGTGTGACTGATCTGACAAGAACCACTCTCAGGTTGCAGAGACTGGATAGAGAAATCGATTTCAGACTTTCATATCTCCACCCTTTACAGCTTCTGTCAGAATGGGCAAAGACATTATTCAGACTTACATTAACTCACTTTCCAACCCAAGGAAAGGGGGAGACAATTACACCAGCCCTCCCTGCTTAATAATGGATTCTGGCAGCTTCTGCCCTAAATAAAAATACAATAAAATTGTATTGGGCATGAGCAGTCTTAGTGTTGACATTTTAAAAACGCTCATCTCCAAAAACACACTTTAAAAAAAATTTATTATAATAAAATGTATTAAGCAAGCATGATAAGAAATAGGTATCAGTCAATATAGGTATAATCTTCCTATCCCAGACAAAGCTGAATAAACAAAATAATAAAGAATAAAAGCAGTAAAACAGAATTAAAGAATTCAGTGATATACTCGATTTACCCAAGCAGCAGGCCTGTTTGTTTCATTCCAGGGTTACTTCACGAATACTTCGCAGTTCGGGGATAGTTTAGAAAGATTCGGTTCATTCTGCTTAGTTTGGTTTAGTTCAGCTTTATTTCAGAACGTTAGTAAATACAGTGACTTTGAAAACCTCACATTTTTAGATTTAATAAACTGATTTTAAACAAACTGCAGGTCAAACATGGTCCCTCAAATTCAGCTTTTAGTAGAATTGTTGCTTCAATAGAACACTAATACTAGACTGCCCTCTAGTGAAATGTCACATAATATGAACGGACTATATACCTTCAAGCAAATGACATCCAATAGGCAGGCTGCTGGGTACCCTATAACCCCAGCTGCAGGCACTCACTTAGTCCATTTGTTACCCGCACACTGCTGTCCATGGGCTGAAGATATGGTTTCTGTTAAAGACTTATTTGAAACTTTTACCCTTAAGTATTTTTTTTTTTTTAAAGACAATCTTTATTTTGTTTTTCTGATCTGGTAGGTGTTATACAGTATTCAAGTAATAAAAGGTATACATTCATCATAGTAAAAGATAGAAGGTAGCGTATCCGGTACTGTGATTTTGGTTGACTTCTACAGCGTACACCTTTAGTCTGTCCATTCTAATGTCATATCCTTCTCCCTCTCACCTACCATATCCCAGAATATTATGGTCAAGTCAAATAAAAAGCAAAGCATCAAAGGCATACCCTCAACCTTTTCCATAGTCAAGTTTAAAAGTGAACTAAACTCCTCAATCAATATTTATACTGTGTTGAAAAGCTATTCACTCCCACCTTCCAACACGTTTCATCCTGTATAGGATTTCTTGAGGGATGTATGCAAGTGTCTGGAAGACTGTTTAAATAGTCTGGTCATCAGGTGGACTGAATGACCTAATGATCAACCTATCTGAAGAATTCCTTTACAGAGCGAAACTTGTTACTTCAAAAGGACTTTATATTTGTTTTATTTCTTTTTTGGTTTCTCCATAGATTTTTTTTTTGTTTTAATTGTTTTATCTTACTTCACTGTTGTGCATTGGGGTTTCATCCAGCTGGGGATCCTTCTCCTGTTTTACCACTGGAGTACAAGAAGAGTGAGATTGGAGATGTGCCCATTGATACGTTGTGTGTGCAAATGCAATATAAAATATTTTGTACCCAGTTTATACAATATTTCACGATTGTGTCTCTCTTATTTGCTCCATGCCTATATAAGGTGAGAATTATTACAGAAGACTTCTTTATTCTACATACCTGGAAGAGTGATGAGCCTGACATTGTCATTCGTTTCTGAGCGCATTACGTAAAACTTCTTTGGGTGTCCAGACACTATATGCTGTATTACACTACGTGCTACTTGTGATATATTTTTTTGTAAGTATCGGCCGATAATCACCGGCAATACCGTTAATGAATGGGTGGGCCAGCGCGTCCATATGGCGGCCACCTCAGGGCGCAAGATCGGAGTGACCGGCAGGAGGTGGGCGCACTACGCTCCCTCCTGCCAGGTACTCTGTGTGGCGTGGTAGAGTGCAGCAGAGCGCTCCGCAGTACAGGAACATATGTTTCCTGTACCTGGCTGGACTGAAAGGATGTGCTCACTGAGAGAGCACTTCCTGTCGGTCCTGCCTGTGGAACAGGAGACTCAATCTCCTGTACCGAGGTGCGCACTGCTCCGCTCGGTCATGCTACCAGGAGACCCACCAGGGAGCGGGGACAAGGAGGGGAGAGAGAGGGACACTAATAAACTGGGGACACACACTATGGGACCATGGGATGGGGGAGGTGGGGGTGAGGATGTGTTAAGAAACTCTATGGTACAGGGGGTGGGGGTGGTAAGGAACACTATGGGACAGGGAAGGGGGGTGAAGGACACTATGGGACAGGAGAGGGTGGGAGAGAGGAACACTAATGTACAAGGTAGGGAAAAGGAACACTGGGGTAGACCACAGTGGGGGGATCACTAAAAGATAAGGGGGAGGAACATTAAGGGGAATGGGTGGCACTAAGACTGTGAAGAAATTCCCCTCTTTTGCTTTAAACTGACAATTTGTATTCCCTTCTTTTATGTTAGCTTTCCCTATGGCATTCGGTAGGTAAAACTACCGAATCGAGACCACCCCGAATACTTTACCTCCCTGCTTGCTGGGCATGTTCGACAAAAGTTCTGCACGAACGGTATGCACCGCCGCCATTTCGGGACTTCCACGTGTTCGCGGCCATTTTAGCTCCCGAACAGCGGTGTTTGCCGTCGAGTGTCTGGAACTGAAAACGGTCACTCAAATAGGCGAACACCGCTGAATCCTCCATACCTTTGGTAAAACCCCATTAAAACTACCGAACGACCGGGCGTTTGGTAGAAAGACTCACTGACAGATGGGGAGTCAAGCGAACCAAGGATGGTAGCTGGATGGCCAGCCGTTCGGGAGGTTTTTCATGCGATTTAAGACCAACTGCAGGGCCAGAATTCATGGAACTGTTTTCGTCTACTTTGCCCGTGCAGTCGGTCAAAACTTCTAAGTCCCATATCTCCCGAACGGCTGAACCGAATGGACTGATTTTTTCATATGTTGGTCGCCCAGAGTACAGCTCCTTGGGGTACATCCAGACTTTGGGGAAATTATGTTCAGTTTTAATTATGTTAAATGGTTATCTGAGGGGAGGAGATGTACAGTATGTATATTGTTATTATTGGTTGTACAGTTAATTATATGGGAAGTTCCCTTGCATGGGCAGAATCCCATAAAAAGAGAATGCCTGTCAATAAATTCATCTTTCATCTTTGTACCCTTCTTCTGACTACGTATGCTGTTTGGGAGTTCGTGTGTTTTACTGAGGGAATTATCCAGGGACACTATTGGAATTACACTGGGATTCGTCTACCATAACTACCGAACGGAGGGCTATATTCACTGGGCTCTGGCGGTTCGGGAGGAAACTACTGATTGAGGTTTAAATGTACTTGGTTTCCTTACAAAGACAGGTAAAGGGCACTAAGAGACCGGTAAGGGGTGGGGGAGTTCCTACCGCACATATTTACACACAAACTACATCCACTACCCACACTGCATTTACTAATCAAATACGCTCATTGCATTCACTACACACACATAAATATTATTGAAAACATAAAAAAAAAAAATCTGACTGGCATGTATATTTTGTGCATTTACCACTTAATAAAAAAAAAAGATTTGCAAAAAAATAAATATACGGTAAATGTACAGAATATCGGTAATTGGCCTGAAAGTTCACAGAATATATCAGTATCGGCTCTAAAAAAAATAAATAAATATCGGTTGATTCCTAGTGGCTATAACAGGAATCACATTGCCCCACAGTATCTAGAGCAGGATGCATGCCAATCTGACCTGGTTACGTACAAGGGGTGACTCATACCAAACTTGGCCGTGCCGGTCTAGTTTTGCTCAGCCTCAGATCTACGTGTGGGTTATCAGACAAACAATCCTCTGATGCCAAACATGTTTGTTGTTTAGCAATGAATCAGTTAATCATTGCTAGTTAGATAGGAACTTCTGAACTGCATTTCCCATGATGCAATGAACTTGGGCTTGCTAAACATCATAGAAAATTTTGTTGAATATTCATAGTGCTAAGGATAGCAACCATTTTGTTAAGCCTTTGTGTTCATTGAACAGTTTTTCAAAGAAAGAGAATAAAAATAAAGAGCCAGAGTCAGATCAATAACTAAATGATTATAATGTCATACACAAAAGTTAATGTTTCATTTGGTTAGCAATAAAAACATTAGTCATTAAAGCACAATTTAAACTTTTATATAAACAGGTCAGCCTGTGATGACTCCTCCGTAATAGTTGTCCCCGTGACAAACACAAATAGCACCTGAAAAGCCAGTGCCCGGTCCGACAACTCCAGCTATCAAAACGCAGGGCTTGCTACAAATCTATCAATACCATGAGGGCTGAGCCACTCCCCAAGAGACACCAACCCTGCAAACAGGTTATGCTCTAAAATGGGGGTACAGGGAGATGTTCCACACCCATCAAATACCTGAATTAAAAAAATGTTCCGCATTTTATTGAAAAATTAAATCAATACTGGAAACCAGCAATAAGAATAAGTTGCTGCCCAATTTCAATGAGACAAAAATAAAAGTAACGGGGTACAAAACAGAGGAGGAGTCATCATTTATGCTAGGCTGTGTTAATACATCATGTAATGACCCATCTCATACTTTAGCATAATAAAATCACAGTGATTGTACTTTTTGGAAACACTTTTTTTTTTTTTAAATGCCATTATGAACTCCGTACAATAACAAAGTGTTGGCTCAGCGCCAGATACAAAGTACATAGTAAACAGAGCAGTGATTGTTGGGCACAAAAAATACCTTACACAAGTCTCATTAGACACAAAAGATATACAAATACATATAATTTTGAATTATATTTTTCATATTTATTCTTCTAAAATAGAAAAAAAAAAATTAATAATAATAACAATAATAATAATCAAAACTTGCATTCAGTGTTGCAATTTAACCAGATTGTATACTAAATTCTGATCACTTAGTATTTAACTTAAAGGGATACTCTAGGCTGTGAAACTCCCTTTAAACCTCTCAGCCAATCCTGGTGCTCTCACTTTCACTGTAAACTTTGCCCATTTCCCATAAACAGAAGCCCCTCTGCTTCCTGCTGAATGTTGTACAGACTGGGACAGAGCTAGTCAGTATTTAGCTTCATTTAGGAAATCCCACAAAATTACACCATTTGCGCAAAGTAAGTTTTCATGAATTAAAACAAATCATGGCGGTGTATGTGCACAGCGGTGATGACAAAATGCACATAAACACACACAATCACAGCAAACAAGAAACCACTGTAGATTTATAGGGAGGAACAGAGCGGATAGACTAAATATTCACGTCACTAATCGGACAATGGTGCCTGGAATATCCCTTTAAATATGATAAAGATTATGAAGGGAAAAAATAATTGTAGATTAGCACATAATTTAATTAAGAGATCTAATGACGTTTGGAGCATTTTTGACCTATAAATAGACATTCGTACATATGGGGGGAACAGTTACTGCAAAAGACCTACATTATCTAGTCTATTCGGCAGGATATAAACTATTTCATATTAGAAAGGTGCACATGAAACCTGCACTATTAATATTTCCACTTGCAGTGAATAGCCATGCAGATAGCACATCGAGCTGCTCACAATGCATTTCATGAACGTCTGATTTACTACACCTTGTAACCTTACAATATAACATATACCAACAAGATTTGGAATGAAATATAGCTTGTATAGTTTGATAGACAGCTCCCTCTCGTCGCTGACGAATTTCATGGATGTCAGCCTTTCAGTAATAAACTTTCAATGCAGTCTTCCAGTGAACATTTCTGATCTTTGGCCATAAGCACACTTTACATAAAAGAAAAAAAACCAAAAAACAAAGCGACTATAGTGGCAAGTATGAAAATTACAAGACAATCTATGAGGTCGGCCAATCCAAGTTAATGTGTGGCAAGACTGCAAAATACCATGTCCATGTTAAGCCACAGAGCAGATGAAGTCATGATCATGGGCAAAATTGAGACCACCACTCCATCACATATATGAGGCACTGCCATGTATTGCATATGAAGCCCATAGTGAATATAACATCTGCTACAGACAAAACTACAAGGCAAACTATTGACTTTAGTCTCCCTTGGACTAAGGCCAGCTCATCTGATGAAGTTTACATGCAATTCTATCTCAATTCTTACTATGTACATCACAAAAAGAGCCCACAAACATATCTTGGGCGCCCACACAAAATGCATTGCTGGACTGTTCAGTAAAGAGCAAGACTAAGCATTCGGTGTATGCATTCTATATAAATATATATCTTTAACCATCCTGTATACACAAGAAACTACACTTTAAGGTACATTATGAACTGGTTAGGGACCTGGTCAATACTACAGTATTCAATAAGGTTATATATTTCACAGCAGAAAGAAACAAAAAACAAAAGTTCTAAATTATCAGGAATGTATACATACTAAAACAAACCTGTGTAATCTGTTAACTGTAGGTCAAACTCAAAATGTGATTCAAAACATCTTTCAAATAAGCTTTTAAACAAATATGTAACATAATTAACCAAAAACACATCCACCCAAACACTGAAAGACACCGGATTGTGTTCTGTTAAAAAGGCTGCCCTTTCTTTCTCATCCTGCAGAGTCGAAAAGTCAAAATGTACAAAGCCCTCATTTCTCTGACAAAACGAGATTTTCCATCGGAATAATGAACAGTGACTTCCTACAGTCTTTTCAGAAGGTCTGACAATTTAAATCCATTGAAAGCAATAATTACTGGATAACATGTGAAGCATCCATTAACAGGACAGCATCCACTGCTTTGCACTAGTCTTTTTCATACTCTTTAGTGATTAATATGTAAAAAACACAACACATACACGTCACAGGATCTTTTATTTTAAAATGGAATCTACGGTTACATATGATCCTAGTTCTTTTCAGATCACCAAAGCCCAAAACACACATAATTTAGCCAGGAAATGTCTATAACGTGCTGCTAGTTGCTGAGGACATCCTGACATCTACAATGTTATTGCCCAAATGAATTGGGAGTGATTTAACAGATCTTGGAAGGAATACTTTAAGCACCATAATCACTACAGCAAGCTATAGTGATTCTAAAGCCAAGAGTGACCTCCCCCCACCACCATTGTAAGCAGTCAAAAAGTTTAACAACGCTTTGACTACTTACCTGGAGTCCAACAGAGGCCAATTAACACTTCCTATTTGCTAGATGCTGCTATTCGGTTTCCCAAGCTATGGCCTGCAGTGCACGGCAAGCTCAGTGGCTGAGAGTGCTAGGTGGTCGCACTCAGCTTGGGGTTCCGGCAGAGAGCAACACCATCAAACCACAGATTATAAGTCAAACCGTTACTAAACTGTTTGACAACTGACATTGGGGGCCCCATGACACTCCTGGCACCAGTCTCTACAGTGCAGTGCTTATGGTGCCTAGAAAATTCCTTTAAAGTTTTAGTTTCCTTTGCTTAGAATCAAACCTTCATGTCAGATCTCACGTGCATGGACCAATTCTTAAAAAACAAAAAAAACCTCCAAATTAAAAATACTTTTCTATATATCCTAGGATGCTCATACAGTCACAGGTGAGCAACCCCTCAAAAGACACCAAAAATTAGTAAACCACTTCTGAAATATTTAGTAACTAATGACTACAATAACATTTTATTTAACAATACACAGAGATATAGACACACCACACTGGGTTAACAGTTTAGTATTTAAAAATATAAATCAATTCTCTAAATAAACCGCACTAGCAGCAAAAACTGTAATAGTCAGCAAAAATACTTTAATTCACTACAAATAACAAAAGTTATAAAGTTAAAAAAAAAGGTACATGCAACAAACTGCACAATGGAAATAAACAAAAATCCCATCTTCACATTGATGAAGAAAGGAAGGAGAAAAAACAAAAACAAAAAAAAAGCATTAATACCACCAGACATGATTGTCTAAGCCACAGGAATATGGAAAAGGAAAAAGGTCTGTGTTGAATGAGCAAAGTGCAGCCCAATTCTTTATAAATTGTGGTAATCTGGGAATTAAAAAAATTTAAATAAAACAAAAAAACACTTTCTCAGTGGGACGAGAAAAAAAAATTAAAAATATTCAACGCTTTGGTAACCGGGTCCACATTTTATGAAATATTCTGTATAAATATATACAAGCACACAGCCTGCCTAAATCTATACTTTGTACCTATACAATTTGTTGACTTTTACCAGTTTCCTGAGGAAATATTAACACTTATGACTAAAATAAAATACAATACAGTATTTAGAACAAAAGAAAAAAATAATGCACAAAGAAATAAATACAGAAAGCATTACGGCTTAAATTAAACTTGGTTCAAAAGAAAAAAAAAATGTTTGTAAGTGCAAACTAGATTAAATAATAATTATTTTAACCAATTATTACCGACACCAAACTCCTGAGTGAGATTATAAACTTTGCAGTAACATGTATTAAAATGTGTATAAATCACAGGTACAGGATTCAAGCACACGCGAATCAAGTCTGGGATTTAAGAATTTGTGAAAACTGTTCAAAACTTAAAATGCAAAAAGCACGGTGCAAGAGAAGACTGCCAAAATGGTGAGTGAGAAAACACAGTAAACAGAGTATAGTAGAACCGCAGGCCTCACATGAGAATGGAAACAAAACCACACTTTGTCATGTAGAAGTAAAATTAAAATAAAAATGGAGTGGGCTTGACTAGGCGTTTCTCGTATCTAGTTATATCAATAACCTTTCCATCATCAAAAATATAATAATTTTTTGGGGTAGCAGAGAGGAAAGCAGAGAATAAAGTATTGTACAGAACTGGTTCTGGCCACTAGGAACACAGCAGTTCAGTACACTGGAATGTTGGAAAAACACAACCTAAATCGAATATATATATTTATAAAAAAAGAAGAAGTAAATAGATAAGTAGTGATTTTACACATATTCGTCATCTATGGTCATGTTCACTATTCACCATCTTTGGCACAAAAAAACAAGTTTTGAAAATATGTTAAAGCAACATTATCTTAATGGTAGAGATGGAGCAGTGTGGTTACATTCTCTAGAATTAACACTTTTTAGTACAAGTTATAAAGCAGGAAAACATTCTCTACTTAATGTAATGCACTCTCTAAATTAATAAAAAATAGAAATGCTGTAGTTGATGCAGATACAAAATATTATAAATATTTACTACGAAGTTGCAGTTCAGCCATTTTTCCCCCAAAGTAACATTGAAGGGTTCTGCAGCCATATTCCTGTAACCATGGCAATGAATTACATTCTGAACCCCTTCTATGATTAGCAGGTAATGTCACCCAAACTGCCTACTACTTAATGGTCTATAAATGCTTTTCCTCACACCCTTTTTTGCCATCTTCAACATCAGTACTACTGGAGGACTGTCTGGGACACAGCTCCTGCAGCACTCTCTCCAGGTCTTCTGGTGCTACTGCAGAGCCAGAGGGAGATTTCGCCAAGGTCATCTGCAGAGCACACCATAATGCAGTTCTTGCCTTTCGAGTAGAAGCTACCATTTCCTTTATTGCAGCTGCCAAAGCTAGGACATCTAAAACAAAAACAAAAATACAGAATATAAACACGAACACAACTGTAGTTAGCTGTATTATTAAAAAACTGAAATCAAACACAATTGTGCGTAATTAAAAACATTTTTCTCATTTAAAGGGACACTTTAGTCACCAGAACAACTACAGCTTATTGAATTTGTTCTGGAGAGTAGAATCATTACCTTCAGGCTTTTTGCTGTAAACACTGTCTTTTCAGAGAAAACGCAGTGTTTACATTACAGCCTAGGGACACCTCCACTGACCACTCCTCAGATGGTTACTAGAGCTGCTTCGTGGGGCAGTGCTGCATAGTGTCTCCACCCTCATTATGGAGACACTGACCTTTCCCTAGAGATTCATTGATTAGATGTGGATTGGCCAGGCTGGCATAGGAAAGCATTGTGATTGGCTGATGATGTCAGCTAATGTGGCAGTCAGTGGCATAGCCAGAACCAGTAGACTGGAATAAAGGTAATATTTCACTAGATTAGGGGTACACAGGGAGCTAGATTGTGATTTTAACACTATAAGGTCAGTAATACATGTTTGTGTTCCTGACCCCTATAGTGTTCCTTTAACTTTACTTTTGCAAGCAGCTTATACTTTGCAATAACAAATGGTTTACAAAATAGACAATAGGAGATTTAAAGTGATTTAATGTCTGAATGGCAGAGAATTCAGCAGTGTGAATGGAGGAGCAGGATATATACACCAAATCAACTTCATTAAGATGAAGTGGTTTTGGTGTTTAAAGTGTCCCTTTAACAACGGTGTTGGAACCTAAAAATGGGTCTCCAGAGCATTTTAGTAGATGACCATTGCTTGTAACAGGAACTTCAAGAATGGTTCCTTTGGACAATTTATCACCTGAAGAATGGGTCCATAAGAGAACATGCATTCAATCTGGGTCTCTGCCAATAAAGAACCACCATTTGAGACAATCTAAAGTGCTAATGTCAAACACGGTTAGCACATGTTATTTTTCAAGCTGTGTTTGTTGGTATAAGTACGGTAGTTTTTTTAATTTCTTTTGGGGCATATATTAGTGGTAGTTTTAGGAAGAGTTTCAAACTCATTTTTTTTATTTTTTTTTATTTCACTACAAACACTGTAAAATAATAGACAAGTTTCTAAATTACAATCCCTCTCCACTTTTTATCCCTAATATTACACACTGTTTTTTTTTTGTAAATCTGAGATTTGTAACGATTGAGAAAACATTCTATAGGCACAGATTAGACCTTTTGTTAAAGGACCACTATAGGCACCCAGACCACTTCAGCTTAATGAAGTGGTCTGGGTGCCAGGTCCAGCTAGGTTTAACCCTTTTTGCTGTAAACATAGCAGATTCAGAGAAACTGCTATGTTTACCTATGGGTTAAGCCAGCCTCTAGTGACTGTCTCATTGACAGCCGCTAGAGGCGCTTCTCACTGTAATTTTCACAGTGAGAAGACGCCAGCGTCCATAGGAAAGCATTGAAAATGATTTCCTATGAGTCTGGCTGAATGCGCACGGCTCTTGCCGCGCATGCGCAGTCAGCCGATGACAGAAGAAGAGGGAGGAGACTCTCAGCACCGAAGGAGCCCAGCGCTGGAAAAAAGGTAAGGGATTAACCCCTTCCTCCCCCCTCAGCGCCACAGGAGTGGAACCCTGAGGGTGGGGACACCCTCAGAGCACTATAGTGCCAGGAAAACAAGTATGTTTTCCTGGCACTATAGTGGTCCTTTAAGTAAACTATGCATTACTTTTTAAAGACACAAGTGTGCAGACTCATCACATGATCAGCTAAGCAGCAAGCAGCATAAAAGCTTCTAAATCAGAAATTTTATTAAAACAAGTGAAAGGTGATTGCAAATGGTACTTTCTGCGGTATTCACATAATGTAAACAACTCCCTGGAACATTTATTAACTCCATAAGGACAGAGTCAGTTGTACAAGTTGTGATCAAATCAAAATGTAAACAAAACCTGGAATTTGCACTACATGTCTGTTCAATCATAATACAACTCTTTCATATTAAGTACACCTACACATATTATATATAATTTTGCTCAGAAGAAACAGGTCTTTCATTTCATATCAAAATATTTATAAACAGGTCAAGGTTACAGGGTCCAGTCTTGGAGTTGCCCTGCAGGCAGTCTCATAGACTGCTTTGCGGCCATGTGATGTGCGACATTCGTCACGATCACATGGCCCTGTACGGCCGAAAAGGAAGCAGGACTGCCTGGCTTGTGAGGCAGTCCCCACGCACCAAAATTGCCGCGGATCGCCAGTCCAAATAAGTCAATTGTGGCTGGGGTGCTAACAATTGTTAGGGCGTACTATGCCGCCATAATGGCGTTTAGGCACACTAAATGCGGGGCTGCACAGTATGCCCTAACAGCGTTAAGAGGACAACTTGCTGTCACCATATTTGTTTTAAATAATAAAATATTTTCAATAGCAATTTAGCATGCCCAAGGTACAATTTTGTGCTTCTTCTGAACTACGGCTTACCCTTTTCAGCGAGTAATATACTATAAGAGCTTTGTTATGGTAGGCCTTTTTCGAATTCAGGAGACTTTACTCTGCACTGAAAGAGTTAAAGGGACACTCCACTGGCCAAATACAAAATAGAAATCACTGTTTAGTAGATATACCCAAATGAAAATGTGCATGCATTTAATTATGCCCTGTTTCACTGGAGGTAGATCTAAAACAGCTTGCAAAAGCTGCAGATCTCTACTTTGCAGCATTTGCCACCCCACCCCTCCCCTTCTAACCCCACCCAGACTTTCTGTGGTTGTACAATCACAGACTTCCCAATGAGAAGTCTTTGCAATGCAGGTGCTCTGGGCAATTGCTGCCTCTTGAGTTCAGTGCAATTAAGCTAACCAAACCAGGAAGTAACAGGACTGGTTGGCTGCTTGAAAGCCAGAGGGTTTAGAGCAAGCAGGTTAATTTATAAAAATGTAAAATATACAAATAAAATAAGATACTTAAATAAAGTTTTTAAACAAGTGCATTAAGGGTCTGAAATGTGTTCCTTTAATACTCACCTCTCTCGTTATTAAATCTGGGCGACCCTTGTTTTTGGCGATTAGCAACATTCACAATCTCATCCTTGCGCCGTGCCTGAGTCAAGAGAATTGCTTCTAAATGGTGTTCCAGAGCCAGGGTTATATTAACGTGAAGAGAACAGCTACAGATCCTTTCCATTATTTTAACCAGCGACACAGCCTGAAAATGAAAGACTATTAGCAAGACCGCCTACAGGATTTGCATACAACATATATAACCGTACTACAACAACTAGCCAGTATAGCATACAATATAATTTGCACAAAAAGGATCGCTTGAAGAAAAAAAAAAAAAGGGCAAAGAAGAACAATGAAAAAGCCTGTGAGGCAGACCAAACAGATGAAAAATTCTGAAATAATTGTGACCCATATTTAAGAAGAAAACAATGATCTACATATTCCAGGTATTAAGTGCAGTGTGTAGGTTTGGTACCAGGTATGCTGGATGCATCTTATTCTTTGTTTTAAAACCAATTCATTTTGCTCTGAAAGTTACTGTTTTATCCTTCTCTCCAAACCGGCAGTATTTCCCATGTTGCTGTGTATGAGGACATGGCTTAGATTACTGGAAACTGGAGTTCCGGAGTCCCCAGTGTAAAGCAGAAACCATTGCAGGGCCCATAAAGCATTGCTTATGAGGCAAGGTCAGCCGAGCTAAGAAAGTTAAGTAACCACTACAAATGGTCAAATCGTTTTAAAAACACAGGAGGCAAGATTTGCAACATATGTGGGAAGTTCAAATATGACTAGATTTTACTAGTTATTGTTTATGCATATATCTATGTATTAAAACAGAACAAATTAACTTGACGCTAGAATACACACTACTTACCCTTGCCTGCTCCCGTAATTCATCCACAATTAAACGGTCAACCCTTGATGGATTTGTAGGAAGCCTTGGGACTGAGGAGTTGTAGGAGCTGGATACTCGGTTACCAGGAAAGTGTCTAGCAAGATCTGCTTCAGTCTAAATACCGACAAAAGGTAAATTGATCAATATTAGCCAATAACCAAAATAAAAATGAAAAAATATATATATTTTAATTCAGGAAGTAAAAGAGTTCGGTTATAAGAGCACCAACAAACTGACAAATTATAAAACATAATCAAAATGTTTCTCTCTTGTCAAGCTCAGGTGTTTTTTCTTCTTGAAATCAAATGTATTTCATTCCAAAATCAGTTTCTCCATAGCAGTACCTGCCAATAGTTTGTTTAGAAGCAAAAGATAAATGTCTACATCTATTAAAAGTAGGAAGGAAGAGGACAAACTAGCATTTTATCAAATCTTTAACCCCTTAAGGGCACATGACATGTGTGACATGTCAGGATTCCCTTTTATTCCAGAAGTTTGGTCCTTAAGGGGTTAAAAAGGTGCAGGACACCAAAAAAAAATAAAAAAATATTGGACCCAAAACTAAAACCTTTCAGTAAGAACACACGTTTAGGTATTAACCAAATCCTTATCCTCCCAACAACTTATTAAAAGCCTTTTTTTCAAAAAAAATTTAAAACCCCTTAATGACGGCGGGTGTGATATGCCGTCCTTTGGGACCCGGCATGTCCTTCCTACTTACCTGCATCCTGGAGATCGCGATGGGGGGGAGGGGGGGAGAGGGGGGCCGGATCCCTGCTGTCGATCCGGCCGTCCTGGGCCATGTGATCGCGAGGTCCTTGCAAGGACCTCACGATCACATGGACTGAATAGCCGTCCATAGCAGTGCCAGCAGGGGGAGTGCCTGGAATGACAGGTAGTCCCACTGCTGCCTGTAGAAAAGTTTAATAAAGTTTTAAAACCGCGTAAAATAAAATTATACATACTTCGATTTATATATATAAATCGAAGTATGTATAATTTTAATTTTTAAAACCGCGTAAAATAAAATTATACATACTTCGATATATATATATATATATAAAAAAAATCGATATATATATATATATATATATATATATATATATATAAATCGAAGTATGTATAATTTTATTTTACGCGGTTTTAAAACTTTATTAAACTTTTCTACAGGCAGCCCACTGACTACCTGTCATTCCAGGCACTCCCCCTGCTGGCACTGCTATGGACGGCTATTCAGTCCATGTGATCGTGAGGTCCTCGCAAGGACCTCGCGATCACATGGCCCAGGACGGCCGTGGATGGCTCCCAGTCTTCTTTATTGCCTAGGTGCCACTCCAACCTCAAAATATAAAATACCTTGTTTGAAGTGCACTCACATGACTCGATACTGTTGCCAAAAATGTGCCATTTATTCAATCTTAATCAACTTTTGAAGCTTAAATAAATGGCACATTTTTGGCAACAGTATCGAGTCCTGTGAGTGCACTTCAAACAAGGTGTGTATATATATACACACACACACATACATACATACACACACACACACACTATATAATATATATATATATATATACATACATACATACATACACACATATATATACACACATATACATATATACATACACACACATACAATTTAAAAAAAAATTATATAAATATATACATATATGTAAACACACAATCGGATATAAAAATTCTACATATATTTAGGTAATAATTTTACATAATTAGGTCATTTTATTAATTACAATTTGCGGGACCTGCCTGATAAACCAGGCAAAAAGTCCAGAGAATTTTATTTGCTAGCACTATATTTAACCCTGTAACTTTCCAAGACACCATAAAACCTGTACATGGCCGGGTACTGTTTTACTCGGGAGACTTCGCTGAACACAAATATTAGTGTTTTAAAACAGTAAAATGTATTACAAACTATGATATCATCAGCGAAAGTTTAGTTTTTTGCATTTTTCACACACAAACGGCACTTACACTGACAATATAATTCTTGTGACACGTTTTACTGTTTTGAAACAAATATTTGTGTTCAGCAAAGTCTCCTGAGTATAACAGTACCCCTCATGTACAGGTTTTATGGTGTTTTCAAAAGTTACAGTGTCACAAACACTGGCCAAAATTAGCATTCAAATTAGTTTTTTGCATTTTTCACACACAAACAAATATTAACGCTAACTTTGGCCAGTGTTTGTGACCAAGTGACTACTAAAAAAGACTGGACATACCCCATTTGCAATACCTTGGGTTGTCTACTATTGCAAATGGTATGCCATCATGGGGGTAATTCTCATTCCTGGGCTATCATACGGTCTCAAAGGCAACGTAACCAATCTGGCAAATTTCAATGTGAAGAAACTGAAAAATGTAACATGCTATATTTGACCCTGTAACTTCCCAAAACACCATAAAACCTGTACATAGCGGGTACCGTTTTACATGTTTGACATTGCTGGATACAAATATGTGTACTTTATTGCAGTAACAGCTAACAGTATTGTGACATTCACAGTTATAATGTCATGCAGAACTAAAAAGAATAAAAATTTCTTAAATTCTCACTTTTTATATTTTATTCATATTAAATTATGTTTCATAGCTAAATATTTGATGTTAAATTAAAGCCCTGAATAAAATGATATATAATGTGTGGGTTCACTTAATATTAAAGAGGTTAATTACGGTTGAACAGGCATATAGTCAAATTCCAAGTTTTGTTTATGTTTTATTTTGATCAAAACATGTACATTTGGCTTAAGGGGTTAAATCTAAAGAAAAATATTTTGGGTTGTGGGTCCAAGCGTAAAAACAAAGACGATCTTACCTTTTTCCTATCCTTTTCAAGGACTCTTAATTGTTCACAGCATTCTTCTAGTTGACTATGTAGCTCACTGGCAGGTCCACTGCGATTTCTTGGTGGACGATATCTATTGAATGGAGCAGGAAACGCAACATATGGCGGAGGAATTTCACCAGACAATAACTCGTTTATGAAGGGATTAAGGGGATTCAAGTCTTCATAATGAAGAAGGTCAATGAGATCAGAAAATGGAAATGGTGGAGGAGGAAAAGGCATGTTGGCTGATGGAGCAAATGGTTGAGCGTTGAAGGAAGGAAAATGTTGGTTTTGCTTTAGATTGGACATTAAGGAGAAAGATGGGAGGAAAGAAGCATTGATGAAGTCAGACACATTGCCAATGTTTGCGTCCTGCTTCTTCTGGAACATGTTAAACTGTTGTGGATTAGAACGGGCATTTCCTTGTTGAGCACTCCAGTTTCGTTTGCATCGCTTGTCTGTGTTTGAGTTATTCTGTGGGTTGTTCTTTTTGGATAATCGTTGATATCTATCAGAGTTTTGTGGCGTAGGAGACTTGGGGGCTTGGAAACCAAAGCTCATTTTTCCATAATTTCCCTCTTTAGTAGGAGAAGATTGTCCAAATGATTTAACACCTCTCTGATTTTCATCAATTAGCCCTGAAAAGGTCATTTTGTTGGTGGCAGAGTTTCTGTGTGTGTGTCCATCACTCAGTGAACTTGACGAAGACGCAGCATGAGAGTAATAAGGCTGTTGGGACAGGGAGTTATGTGTTGGAGATCCATCTGACAATGAACTAACGGGAGATGGAAGCGGACTGATTGCTTGTTTCTGAGTACCTACAGCCTCAAAGTCTAGAAACCGGTTCCCAAAGCAGGAGGGCTGAAGATTTTCATTGTGATAGATGGCATTTGTAGATGAACTAAAGTCAGAAGACTTCATAAAGGACTCGTTGGGACCTTGGCAAACTTGGTTTTCATGCGAGTCAAATGGAATGTTTGGGTAGTTAGTGTATTGGTTTTCAGACCCTGTATTGTATAGTTTTCTTTGAGCAAATGGCAGAAATCTTCTCTCTTTATGAAACTGTTGATTATACTGAGGAATTGTAGGTTTCATACTCGGTGGTTCCACGTTGCATGTTTTAAGATAATTTTCTTTACTCCATGCATCTCTCGAATCAGAGGAATAAATAAGTGGATTTGTTGGACTGGATTTCCCAAATGTAAAACTTCCATTTTCACCTTTCCACACTTGCTTAGGGAAACCAGAGTATTCATGTGGCCTCTTCTGGGCATTGGTGCCAACACTGGCGCCATTCATTGCATAATCCGTACAGTTAAATTTGATGTAGTCTCCAGTGTACTGGGGAGGCTGTTGAGTTTGATGAAAGGTTGAGTTCAGTTTCAAAGCAGGATTTTCAATGTAAACATCATTAGAGAGCTCATCCAGCTGGGGCTCTGGATGAGATACAAAAGACTCCAAAAGACCTAGATCTTCAAAACCTCTCTGCAGGCTCCCCATGTCTGGCAACGTTCTTATTTCTTTCCTGTAAGATTGGGTGTCGGAGTCTGGGACAGTATGAGGAAGGTAATCAGACAATTCTCTCTGTTCATCAGTATTTGGAGTCCATAATGGGGGGAAAAGTTTTGATAAAGAGTCCCTAAAAGGGAAAAAAAAAAATGTATACACAGTTTTTCTTCAGATTGGCATATTAATGTGAACACTTAATTTATTAACTTTTTTTTTTTTTTTAACACACACACACACACACACACACACACACACAAGAATAAATCTGTACAAAAAAGAAATAAAACCTATTAAATATTGACCACTGCCCCTTCCCAAAAAAATGAATTTGTATTGGCACATTTGACGCAAATCACAGAGAACAGGCATCTTGGATTCAACTGGAAATATTACTGTTAATGCAGAAATTCTGTCCCTTACGCATTTGGGTCCAACACAGAAATAAGGATATGTGAAAGGCAGAATTTGAAAGACTTAAAGGACAACTGTCACCTGTCAAATAAATATTTTATTGTTTTCTGTTATTTTTTCTTTATTGATATTGACAAATATTGATACTGACAAATATTGTAAATATGGCAGAAATATTGCAGTACAATTATATGTGGTAGCAATAGGATATTTCATGTACAAACAATATGTGAAAGCTTATATAACAATATGTTGTTGAATAATGGTATTTCACATGTAATCGTACACAAAGTCATTATACCTCATCTTGACGTAAATAAAAATAAATTTAAAAAAAAGGTAGCAGCTTTAAACATATGAAGCCTAATATGGTAGGTCAAACCGAGGACAGAGCTCTCCAGTGCCAAATAGGTTATTGCCAAAGTGTGAAACATACAGGGAGGTATCGGAAACAAATATACGCAGGTGAAGTAAATTACCATGGGATGTGTGAGAGAAAAAACAAATTGCAATATAGCAAATGGAGGTCCTGATATGGGACTATTTGTAAAAGGCTCAAAATAACAAGTGGCTCAAAGTAATATAATAAACAAAAACAACTCTATTACACTCGTGGTTGCTAGCACCCACACAGAGTAAAATCAGCCTACACCTAAAATCACAAAACGTGTGCGTAAATGCAGCCGGAGTCCTAGAAGTATAGCCCAAAAATATTTCAATATAATAATTCTTTCCTCATATCTCGAAAGTAAAGATGTATTTCAATGAGTAAAAGAAAAAAAACTCATCCCTATCTTTAGTAAATGACATAATATTCTTTGGTCTAATTCTGTGCAGTGAAGCCAGGAAGAACACAGAGACGGTCACTATTCAAATACTGTCTGACCCGCAGTGCATGTATATGGCTGAAGGATCCGGTCATATACTAAATGTAGGGCTGACTTTACCTCATTTTTTACATATACCTCAAACAAGCTATTTCCTTTCAAAACATAATGAAAGGATTATTATATTAAAAATATTTTTTAGAGGTGACAGTTATCCTTTAAGTCTTTTTTTTAGCTATTAAGTTTTCTATTTCTGATTGTGTGTATTTACCAAAATCTGGCTTTTTGCAGTGAATCCCCCACAGCTGTAACTAGTGAGGATATTTAAACTTACCAGTCAGTCACTGGTTCCACTTTGTTAGACTCCTCAGTGTTACTAGAGACCAATCCAAACATGTCTAATCGATTCCCAGAGTCTGTGAATGTAAACTGGGAACTAAAACCAAACATAATAAGATTGTTATAGTACCTGCATAACTAGCTAGTCATTAAAACATGCAAAGTAGAACAATATATAAATTACAGTTATGCAAGAATATAGTAGATAAAACACAAAGATTAGGCGCTCACTATAGTGATGATGTGGTAGAGGTGGGCAGCCGTGACCAGCACAAGGATTCCCAACCTTGTAGTAGAACAAATGTGAACAAGCAAACAAAAGGAAACCGCGCCTTTAATACAATACAAATGTACGTACTCAAGTCCTTATGGTCGTAGTTTCTCAGTAAACCTCAAAGAGAAAATATTCAAAATAATAGTGTAATACTGTAGATGTTTCAAATAATAAAGAGCAAAAAGATAAATGCACCCTCACATTTACCAGAGCTACTACAGAGCTCTACTGTTGTTGCGCCTAGACGGAATAATCCCCGTCTTTGGATTAGTTTGAAGTAGTCAACTTCTTGGCGAAGAATAAATAACCTTTTAATAAATAACCTTTGTGTATCGCAGCCTAAAATGCCTCTTGCAATGCAATGTCTAGCAAACTGCGATAAGACCCCTCTATTCTCGCCAGTGGGGCAGCAATAGTCCCACAATGGCTGGCAAAGGATTGTGGAGGCACTCTGCCACACAGCAACATGGGAACAGCCGGCACATATTTATTGCAGAATGCAATGTTGGTGCTTAAAACACGAGATATCCAGCAACAGCTTTAAAGAGCTTCCTAAGTAATCGGGTTGCTATAACAAACTTACTAAAATAGTTTTCAAAGCGAAATGCTGCATGTATAGACAGGCACCATTAACACTTTACCGAAGTCATCATGGTGCTTGGTGTAACCTTTAATTCAAAACAGATTATGTCAAATTTCTTGGATTATAGGGTGTAACAAAACTAGGTACTCAGCCTCTGTATCTCCGTTAATATCCCTCCAAATCCAGCAGTATCACCTACAGTGATTATAACAGGTCACCCAAGCATCCGCCTTGACCCCTGGTAGGGGGTCATCAACTGGAACAATGGAGATCCCACCCAGACGCCTCTGTGTCTGTGAGATAACTAGATCAACTAATGCTGATCTAATTAAACTCCAGAAAACAAGGTGCCTTAACAGAATATCCCCAAACACACGTATAAACATCACAAAACCCCACGTGTGGTATCCCTGGATAGCTCATCCACAAGCACCCTAACTGACAAAATAGTATTGTGATCCATCACATGGGGTATGAGCTACCTCAGATTAAAAAGTTTCAGCAGGCTATTTAAAAGTTCCTATCCACTCAGCAGGTGTTCCAGGTTTCTCCTGGTTGGTCGTATGGAGCCCTCACATCCAATCACTCTGTTCAAATCTAGTCTGGGGAGGCCTGCCTGGGTTTCCGAGACACCCTGTGCCCCCAATAACCACAGGGTGACATAAGAGGGGACTGTGACACTTATGTCCCACATGAATCCATCATGGCCCCTTTCCAAAACCTACCCCCATATATCCCCATTTTCAGTGGGCCGCCATAACACACACCATAAAACACTAAATCTGGAACCCTGTGTTTTCAGCCCAGGGCAATTACTGTCACATAGAGCACATCCACTGGAAAAGAAAACAAGTTCCAGGTTGCCCACAGCCATCTGTACAGGAACAGTGGTTTTATATCAGGCATGTTGCATTCTGCAGGGATCCAAATACCACTTTGAAAAGGTTCTATTAAAGTTTTTCTAATGGGAGCCACAAATACAAATGTTTCTAATACTCCCAAGCATTTGCCTTTTATAACACTGCTGAGTAAGGTTGATGGCGTGGAAAATATTGGAAAGATGGACTGAGCATACAATAACTAAGCGCAGGATATGAAGACAAAATGAAAATTGTGCTTACCTTTTCTCCCTGAATTCAGGCACGGATGATGTAACAGGCTCATCTCCACAGACAGACCAGCTGCTGTATAGCTTCGACTGGGATAGTGTCTCGGAACCGGTCATCCCATTAACAAACTGGGAGAGGAAAGAATTGTCCATATTCTGAATCATGCAGTCCACCTACACCAAAATGTGAAAATAGTAACTAAATAAGAGCTTTTGTTAAAGGTCCCTATTAAAGACAAACCTAGCCTAAGTCGCACATTAATATACCTGCACGTACAACAGATGAGCCACCAGGGGTTTATTTAAAGGGACACTGTAAGCACCCAGACCACTGCAGCTCACTGAAGTGCTCTGGGTGCAGTGTCCCTATTGCACTTAGTGCTGCAATGTTAAACATTTCAATTCCAGAGAAACTGCAATGTTTGCATTGCAGCACTAACTTTGCCCACAGTGGCTGTCTACCAGACAGCCACTAGAGGGCTTCCTGAATTGAAACTGACCTTTGATCCATGAGGACATGCACCGCCAGATTTTTTCCCATAGGAAAGTATCGATTCAGTGCTTTCCTATGAGGAGGTCTAATACGCGCACAGCATGTGCCGCATATGCGCATTAGTGCTGTTTCATCACAGGACGCCGTAAGGGGCGGAGCGTCGGCCCAAAGCAGAGGGACACGAACGCTGGGATAATGTAAGTAAATAAAGCGTTTTTAATCCTTTATTTACCCGGAAAGATACTTGAAATGAGAGAAATCTCAATGTATGTCCTGGGTATAGACTTGGAAAACAGCTTTGTATACCTGCCACTATAGTATCCCTTTAAGAAAAGCAGAGTTTTCATTTGTATCAAACATATTTATCTTGGCTATTTTAGCCTAAATCTTGCAACTTTGTTATCAAAACTCCATAACTCACAGCTCATCCATTAAAAATCAACTCTAGCCGGGTAAACGCACTAAACTCATTTTTCACATATTAAACTCAAATGATATAAAAAATAAAATACCCAACTTGTGGCTATGGCTGAGTGGAAACATCAATGCAGAATAACCCTGTAATCAGAATAATAACTAAGCGAGATGTAGCGGTTACGTTGCCATCGCTTGGATGCTCACGACCTGGCCCCTCGCCAACATGATCAGCCAATTAACCCATCTAAACTTGTACAAAGTAGATAATGCTAGCTGATTATAGTGATATTGACAGGGAGAGGCTTAGTAAAGTAGTGATGTTTTTAGTGTGCCTTAACCCCTTAAGGGCCAAACTTCTGGAATAAAAGGGAATCATGACATGTCACACATGTCATGTGTCCTTAAGGGGTTAAAGAACACTCCAAGCACCATAACTACCACACTGCACGGTAGTGGACATGTTGGCAGGAATACCTTGTCAGAATACAAACTATTTGGTAATGATTTGACTACTTACCTGGTGTCTGTCAGGAGGCTCTCCCTGCCTCCTCTGCAGTCAAAAAATTCTCAGCTCTGAACTAATCCCAACAGTGCAGGCCTTAGCTGAGAGTGATCTGCTAATGCTAGAAGCTTCTTGCTCTCACTTCTGCCTGCAGACAGTCAGGAAGCGGTGTCTGGCAGACGTCAGGTAAAAAGTTAAAAACACACACACAACACATCGAACATATGATGGTGTGGAGTATTGTCCTACAAAGGAAAAGCTTTAACCTGTCCTGTCCATTACACAGGTATTTTGATTGAGAATCTGCCTCACCAGCTTTAGTAGTTAATGCATCTATGAAATCTGCTCTCCTTACAGACTCAAGGTCCACTTTACAGATATGGCATTCAGCCACATTGCAATGTACAATACAAACCAATATCCATCTCCAACTTAATAGCTGGAAAAACAGACAAGGCGATTTCCTGAAAATTAAAAGTACCCATCATATTTACACACACACACACACACACAAACGTAAATGAGTAGATAATTTATATTATATTAATAAAATAGGAATTGATTAGAAATCAACTGAACAAAAATTTAAATACAAGTAAAACTGATTAATCAATAAATAAATAAAAACAATTAACACAATAGTGTAAAATAAAATAAAAAAAATGTAAAAAAGATTTTATAGCGATGAGATAGGAACGGGGTACAAATATTGTTCCACACTGACCTCCCTTAAGAATATATACAGCTATTTTGAGTCCAAAGAAAAAAAAATGAAAAAAAAACAAAACAGACTTGTACCTACCTTCGCCAGGACATAACACTAGTTTGCAATCAGCCTGCCTTGAGATAAGAGTAAACTCTTAGAGACATAGTTGCCATTGAGCAACAAACACAAAACTTGTTGAGCATGCTGCCAGGGGACACCTGTACACTGCATGGCATATAGAAACCGTTGCTATGCGACTACGGCCATATGAAGAGTCTGCATGGATCTCCACCCACTTCAAACTGGGAGAGCCTTGCAAACAGTCACCAGCATGACGGATGTCAAGCAGATAAGCATTAAGCTTAATGAAAGGGGACTAGAGGGGGGTTCAGCCCCCAGAACTTAAACGCATGACTTGCCACGCAGCAAAACAAGCTCCCAGAGACCAGCAATGCATATGCATCATATTAGAGGGCCTGTATGAGAAGACAATCTGCTACAAGAGCGTGCAAAGCAGCTATAAATCAGAAAGTCCTCCAACAAAACAACACCAACCCTCAATCTGAAAATCAGATCCTAAAAAGTAAACCCCGTCCGTGTCGTGCAAGTGGCAGATGGTGTGAAAGGCTTACATTCCTGCAGCTTCTCTCCTGCTAGGCTCTGATGTCACTGTGAGCAGGATATGAGCTCCAGCCTCCAGTCTCGCGTTGAGTTAATAGTAAATAATGCAAGGACTGCAGCTGTTCCCATGGCCACCCCTGGGTGGCAGCATTCACTGCAATATATCTTCATAGTGATGGTTAACTCACAAAATAACTGAATGGAAAAAATAACAGGTTAACCCTTTCAGAGACAGAGCTGTGCCCAATGCATTGATAACATTCCTGGCAGTTAAAGAGACAAAGTATAATTGGTAAATGCTAGATCTCAGCTCATGGACAGGACCCTCTATTACTTTCTATTGGTTTGTCTATACTGTACCGTCTATTTTACCCATATGTACAATGCTCTAGAATATGTTAACGCATTAGAAATACCAATAATAATAATAATAATAATAATAATAATAGGGCTAAAGTTGAGCCCTCTACGGTTATTTTTTTTTAGCTCGCGAAGAATCCTCTTTTCGGAGATACTTGCTTAAATCTGCTCGCTTGACTTATCATTTTTCATCCAACCTGTGCGGTATCTTGTAAATATATGGGTGACGCTCTGAGCGTGAATCACATCGAAAAAATCCTGTTCACAAACAGTTTAAATTTAGCATGTAAGTCCCCAAGGTACTCCAAGCAATATAACAGCTGCAGTGCTTATGGTGTTTTGAGTCCCCTTTTAAAGGAACACTATAGAAATAGGAATACAAACATGAATTCCTAATAATATGGGATTCTAATCCAGATTTAAATTCAGCCTCCCACCCAAATAAGAACAAAAATAACTTTTTTTTTTTTACTTTTACCTTTTTATCCAGAGCCAAGACTCACATTTGACGTCAGTATCTACTTTGTCTTCTTGTCCAATCAAATGATCAGCATTATAAAAGACATTTGGCATACGTCAAACGTCTCATAACAGAGTCTGACTTGGTTATAGCAGTGGAAGCGCCTTCTAGTGGATGTCAGGAAGACATCGAGGCGTGTTTAGCACTACAATGTAAACATTGCAAAATAAAAACGGCAATTTGTACAATGCAGGAACAAGGTAACAGGGGGACAAGTGGCCTATAGCGATACCAATATTTAAAGTTTTTCTTACATCTCTGTACAATCAGAATTACGCACAACAATGCCGATCATTAAGAATAAAGCATAAACCAAAGTACTATTGGAGTCTATTCACTAAAGCTTGACAAAGACCTTTTGGGGTCGAAACGTTGCTGTTGTGGTTCCTAATAAAGTGCCTGTCTTGAACCACGGAGTGCCTGGACCTCTCTTACTTTACTAATGTTTGATGCCAGCTCAGCAAGCACCCTGGCTCAAATTTGTGGGAGTGAGTGCAGTTCCACATATACTATTCATAGTGAATGTGGTCACTTTTATGTGACAGATAAGACTCCTCTGACGTTCACTTTATTCACCATCAACTGAATCACTCACTAACACCGTATATACTGGATATCCGATACACTCACAGCGTATACTAAACATCCGATACACTCACAGCGTATACTAAACATCCGATACACCTCACAGCGTATACTAAACATCCGATACACCTCACAGCGTATACTAAACATCCGATACACCTCACAGCGTATACTAAACATCCGATACACCTCACAGCGTATACTAAACATCCGATACACCTCACAGCATATACCAAATATTCGATACACTCACAGCGTATACTAAACATCCGATACACCTCACAGCGTATACTAAATATCCGATACACTCACACGTATACTAAACATCCGATACACCTCACAGCGTATACTAAACATCCGATACACCTCACAGCGTATACTAAACATCCGATACACCTCACAGCATATACCAAATATTCGATACACTCACAGCGTATACTAAACATCCGATACACCTCACAGCGTATACTAAATATCCGATACACTCACACCGTACACTAAATATCCGATACACTCACACCGTACACTAAATATCCGATACACTCACACCATACACTAAATATCCGATACACTCACACCGTACACTAAATATCCGATACACTCACACCGTACACTAAATATCCGATACACTCACACCATACACTAAATATGTGATACACACACACCATATACTAAATAAAAGACACTCACACTGTATACTAAATAACAGAAACACACTGCATACTAAATAACAGAAACACACTGCATACTGAATAACAAATTCTCACTCTGTATATCTGAGACTCACAGTGCACACACTCACACTATATAACTAGAGTATCAGTACACTCAGAGTGTATAACTGACACTCACTGAGTGCACTCAGAGTGTATAACTGACACTCACTGAGTGCACTCAGAGTGTATAACTGACACTCACTGAGTGCACTCAGAGTGTATAACTGACACTCAC